GGTCGCAAGAGCGGCCAGAACAGAGGAGTAGGGGGTGTGGTCGCCTCCTCCTTCCCCGGGGCGCGCGGGCGGCCGCGTCCCTTCGCAGTCGGTGGCGGGCGACGAGGGGCCCTCGGGCAGGCATCCCATAAGGACACCCCATAGAGCAGGGGACGCGACCGGGTCTGTCCGGGAGGGGTGTTGGAGCGAGGCCTTGGCAATGGTTCCTGGAGTCTGAGCTCTGACCCAGCCTCAGCCCTGCAGGAGGTGCGAGTCCTCGGGCAGCGATTCCGCAACCCACTGGGCCTGGCTGCTGGCTTTGACAAGCAGTGTGAGGCTGTGGACGGCCTGTACAAGATGGGCTTTGGCTTTGTGGAAGTGGGAACTGTCACACCCAAGCCCCAGGAAGGGAACCCCAAGCCCAGGGTCTTCCGGCTGGCAGAGGACGAGGCAGTTATCAACAGGTGAGATCTGCTCTGCCGTGCCCCACAATCTGCCTGCCATGAGGGAGGGTGCATATTTGGGTGATCCCAGGTCTTTGGTTTATGCTGTGGTGGCTTCTGGTTGGATGTGCTGAGCAAAGCTGCAGAGACCACACCTCTGCCTTGTGTTTCTCACATATCCTGTTCAGGGCCTGCAGACATAACCCAGCCTTGAACCCAGTCTTGTCCTGGTGCAGGTATGGATTCAACAGCCATGGCCACATCGCGGTGGAGCGCAGGCTGCGAGCCCGACAGGAGACACAGATCAGGCTCACTGGTGGTGAGACAAGCTTGTAAGCCTTTGCTGTTGGGGTCTGCGGGGAAGGTTTGGGCATCTCCTGGGTACCTGTAGACCAGGATTGGTGTGTAATGCCAGTATCCAGGCACAGGAGCTGAAGCAAGGAATGCTCAGACAGCAAGACTCTCTTGTAGTCTCACCCTTGGCATTGTGACTAGGCACATTTCTCCTGCTGTTTTCTCTGGAATAAAGCTCTACTTGCTGCTTTGGGCAGGATGTATCTGTTAACATAGCTGAAGCCAAGAGGACCCCAGGGCAGATCCTGAGGGCAACCTCTGCCAGGCGGAAGGCTGTGGTGCTGGGAGGTGCTGTAGCAATGCTTTTGTGGTTGCAGGACAGTCCCATCCTCATGAAATACATGGGCTGCATATCCTCATCTTAACTTTAGCTGGTCATGGGACCTCCTTTTTTGGGTGCTCTGGCCATTGGCTGGTGGTTGTCCTGCTACCCTGGTTCAACCGTGTCTGTGTTCCAGCTGGGATGCCTCTTGGAGTCAATCTGGGCAAGAACAAGAGCTCTGCTGATGCTGCAGCTGACTATGTGGCTGGGGTCCGGACACTGGGCCCTTTGGCTGACTACCTTGTTGTGAACGTGTCCAGCCCGAACACCCCAGGGCTGCGGGACCTGCAGGGCAAGGCTGAGCTGCGGGAATTGCTGAGCAAGGTGGGTGCCTCCCCCCAGCAAGCCACAGCTACAGCACTGGATGCATTCCATCTCCTGGCAGCATCTGCACCGCTGCAGCCAAGATTTGCCTGAGCACAGGGAGGAGTGGGGTGGGTGTGGCTTTCCCACATGGTGGGCAGGACCACTGAGATGTCCCTGTCTCTGCTGCTGTGGGGTGTACTACGGCACTGTATCTCAGCAAAGGGCTCAGGAACAGTGTAGCATTACCCTCCACTTGCTCCTGCAAGAGACAGTGAGTTGTCCACCCTACAACTGCAGGAATTGCTGGGGTCCTGTGCCTGCTGTGTGCTCCAGGGCCTGTGCCAAGGGTGCCTTTCCCGTTTTTGGTGTCATGTAGAGGAGCAGGGCATGTGCCTGTACTGCCTGTGGTGGTGGGTAGCTCCTATCTGGAGCAGGAGGCATTTCCTTGCCATGCACTGCCATGTGCACTGACAGGTGCTGGTGGAGAGGAACCTGCTGCCCTGCAAGCGAAAGCCAGCTGTGCTGGTGAAGATTGCCCCTGACCTCACCGCACAGGACAAGCAGGACATCGCCAGCGTTGTCTGTGAGGTGAGGAGGCAGGAAGGGGACCTGCCACCGGAGGCAGGACCATGGTGGTCCTGGCAAGTCACCGCTCTGGAAGACATGTATGCCTGCAGCTCTCTGGCTGCTGTAGGGATGGTGTCCTGGGTAGGTCAGAGTTGGTGAGCGCTCATGTGTGTCACCAAGCAGTGGGTGACCAGGCAGTCCAGGCAGTGAGGAGCAGCTTTGTCCCCAGGCACACTTCTGGGTTGTGTGCTGGGTGGTCCTGACATGCCAGGAGGGGAGGGGAGGGCTGGGCTGCTTGTGAAAACTGTGTCCTCACACTACTGCCCCTGCAGCTAGGTGTGGATGGGCTGATAGTCAGCAACACCACCGTGAGCCGCCCCAGCAGCCTCCGGAGCAGGCAGCGTATGGAGCCTGGGGGCCTCAGTGGGAAGCCCCTGCGGGAGCTCTCCACACACACCATCAGGGAGATGTACGCTCTCACTCAAGGTGATGGCACAACAGAGCTTGGGGGGGGCGCATGCCAGCATGGGCTGTGCCATCCTGACCATGCACTCTTGCCCACAGGCCGGGTGCCCATTATTGGCGTGGGTGGGGTGAGCAGCGGGCGGGATGCCCTGGAGAAGATCCGTGCTGGAGCCTCGCTTGTGCAGCTGTACACAGCACTTGTGTACCACGGGCCACCAGTGGTGGGGGCAGTGAAGCAGGAACTGGAGGAGCTGCTTAGGTGAGTGGAGACCAGGCATGTTCGTCCTAGGACAGCTCTGGACAGCTGTGTGCTGGTGCCCAAGCAGTGGCACTGCAGGGCTGTGCCACACTAGCCCAGTCCCACCACACACTGTCCCTGGTTAGGGAGCAGGGCTTCAAGAACGTCATGGAGGCAGTTGGAGCAGATCACCGCTGCTGACATGCTGCAGAATGTAGGTGTGGCTGGAAGGAGCCATGGCTGAGCAAGGACGGGCGTGACAATTCCAGTGCTGGGCAGACTGGGACTGAGACAAGGTCCTGGTTCCAGCCCCTGGGAAGGGTCTGATAGGTGAAGCGCGGGGCTGCTCTGGTGGGGAGCAGGGGCCAGGGCCTTCATGACAGTGCTGCTTTTCAGGCTTGTGTTTTGGCTTCCCTGTGGACAGCAGAACTGAATGTCAATAAACATTTGGCTCACCTGGTCCTGTGTGCTGCTCTGGGGACACTCCATGGGCTGGAGGGCTGCAGCTTAGCTCTCCTCAGCTGAGCAGGATCAGCTCTCCCACTTTTCCTGGTGGGAGAAGCCACCAGGGTACCTGAACACTGGGATGGACTAAGTGTACCAGGCCTCTGCTAGCAGAGACTTCTGACTGAGGAGCAGCCCATCTTGAGCATAGGGTGCATTGTTTCTGCACCCTGGCTACCCACAGGCCATAGACCTGGCCTTGCTGAAGGTGAAACAGGAGCTGCTGCTTGGAGAAGAGGTGATGCCCATCTGTCTGTCCCAGAAGGACTATGCGCACTCAGGGCAGGTGGGCTACATCTCAGCCTGGAGCTGCAGTGCTGCCTTTGGCTTTCCTGACATGCTGAAGTATGTGACGCTGCCAGCGGCTGAGAATGAGCAGTGCTAGGAATACTACAGTACCTGGAATACGTCCTTTGGGTCCAGCCCCTTCTTGACAATGGCACCTTCTGTGTGGGCATGAGTGAGCTGAGGCAGGACACCTGCTGTGGGGATGCAGGTGGAGCCTTTGCCGTGCAGCGTCCTGATGACAACACTTAATATGCAGCTGGTATCATCAGCTACGACAAGACCTGCATAGCTGCGAAGTATGGCGTGGATGTGGACATGAAGCATGGCCTGGCCTGGGTGAAGGAGACAGTAGCAGATGGCTGAGGCAAAACTGTGAGGGAATAAACTGTTTCGTACCAGGCTACCAGCTTTGTGTCTGTCTGTCCCTGCAAGCTCTCTGTGTGTCTGTCCATGCAGCGTCTCTGTGCCCGGCGCTGCATGGGCCTATTGACTGGGGGTTGGCGTGTGCCTGCCCTCGCTCCCCGGCAGCGTCCTGCAGGGCTTCGGCGGCCGTTGGCTGGAGGATCTGGGGCTGCAGGGACTCTGACTGAGTCTCGCCCCTGCACGGTGTGGGGTGTGCTTGGAACTATCCCCGCGCACGGCACTGTCATCGTGGGTGTCCCCGCCCCGCGGGTGTTTGTTTGTTTCCCCACACGGCGCTGGCCCCGCGGCTGTTTGTTTCCCCACACGGCGCTGGCCCCGCGCTCCCTCCCCCCGTGACTCC